GATTGTTGTTAAGTCAGTACTCACAGCATAATCTTCCACTAGGCCCACACCTAGTCCCAGCAGGGCTGCTTGTACTCGGAAGATGGTGTTCGCTCTGCCACCGTCAGGTCGACCAACGTTCCGTATAATGCTGAATCCATGCTCAGCAATCACGCGGGGGGTGTCAACCTGTCGGAAACAGTCACTCATAATTTCACTTCTCATACCTCCTATATCCACCATCACCTTCCAGGTCCCTTCTTTGACTGCAACACTCACAGTGCAAGTCTCTAATCCCTGGGGTTTCTTAATGATGTTAATAGGAGCCATCATCTGTCGGGTCGTCCACTGATCCTTACTTAAAATACACATAAGAATTAAACAAAATACCGCCAAGAAACATTTAGGAATCAGCTTCATGAGCCTATCACGTCCATAGCTGGCGATCTCCATTAGCCTGGCTTGGATCAAAGAGCATACTAGAGCCTGCGCACCTACCTCACATACCTCTGACGTCTGGGGAATCTCTGGCCGGTTCAATGAACGTTGTATCTTGCCATACCCCAAGTACTCGTCCGCCGTCACTCCAGACTCTTGGGTATCCGTGGGTACTTTTACACGAGGCCTCTCCTCTTGCTCAGTCGCTTCTGTCACCATAACCTCATGTTTCTTGTCGGGAGAAGAATCAGGAGACTGTTAGAATGCTGTCAATCTGTTGGGTAGAGGAAGGATTAAACAGGTTAAGTAGTTGTATGTCTGCCTGTACCTGGATATTACCAATGCCTGCTGTTACCTCAGACCTTCTTGCTGTTTTGGCTGACTCGTCCACAACCTTGAGATTATCGTAGTCCCAACCTGTCACCAAGTCGTTGGCTAGTATTACGTCAATCCCAGCTATAGGCAGGGTATCAACTACTGCCAACGCACATGTGCCGCTGAAGTAAGGCGAGTCTAGATGTACCGGCACTAAGGGGGCAAGTACCGCGTCATAGGAAACCCAACCAGGACAACCTTTTGTCTCCCATCTACACTCACTCCCTCGGGTAACGAGTCTCTCACGATCAGGGACTGGGCTGCTCCACTATCTCTGAACACTACAACTGATCTACCAGTATGATCACTCGTTACATACCCGCCTGAAGTGTGAGGGGCAAACAATCCTGGTCCTTCCTGACTAGTCATCAGAGATTGGGTTCCCACTGTTGGTGTCACACAGCCCATCAGCATCACCTCCCTACGTGGACCGCTACCTCTTCTGCCTCGGCACATAGCAGCAATGTGCCCTTTCTGCCCACAAGTCCAACACACTACATTCCTCCTCGGACTACGGTGTTTCGGACTGCTAGGACAAGTCCTTTGGGGGCTACTTGGGGGAGTCTTCATAGCGCTTTGTGGGACGGGTCTCTTCTCTTCTTGACAAGGTTTGCCAAACAGACGTGGGTAATTCCTAGGGACATACCTAGTGGAAGACCTACGCGTTAGGATGTATTCTTCAGCCATAGTGGCTGCTGCACGTAAGGTCTCTACCTATTGCTCTTCTAGGTATGTCTTCAGATCTCCAGACAGACATTCCTTAAAATCCTCCAACAAAACGAGCTGTTCGAGTTCTTCTTTCGTCTTCACCCTCCGAGAAGCACACCACTCTTGGAAAAGCCGTTCCTTGATGGTCGCAAACTCGGTGAACGTGTGCTCCGAGGTCTTTTTCAGGTTCCTGAACTTCTGCCTGTAAGCCTCAGGCACCAATTGGTAAGCCATGAGCACTACCTTCTTCACCGTGTCGTAATCACAGGAGTCATCAAGGGACAACGTGGAGTAGGCGATTTGGGCCTTCCCAGTCAAGACGGACTGTATCATGATGGCCCAATTCTCATTTGGCCAATCCAAAGAGGCTACAACTTTCTCGAAGGCTGCAAAGAACTTCGACACGTCCCGTTGAATTTTGGGACCATTTTGATGTTCCTTACCGGATCGAAACCACTCATTTCCGTTGTTTTCCTCTGACCGCCTAACCACAATACTTCTAACTCATGTTGTCTTTCCTTTTCCTCTCTGTCTCGTCGTTCTTCCCGTTCTTTTTCCCTTTCTTGCTCTTCTCGTTCTCTTTCTCGCTCTTCTCTCTCTCGTTTCTCTTCTCTTTCTCGCTCTTCTCTCTCTCGTTTCTCTTCTCTTTCTCGCTCTTCTCTCTCTCGTTTCTCTTCTTTCTTCTCTTTCTCGCTCTTCTTTCCTTTCTTGTAATTCTAAACGCTTCATTTCCATTTCTTTTTCTTGTCTCTCTCTTTCCAGTTCTAACTTCTTATCTTCTCTCTCTCTTGCTTTCTCTTCCCTCTCTCTAGCGAGTTCTAGCTTTTTCCATTCTATTTCACGGTGGATCTCTAATTCACGCATTTTCACAGTGAGTAAACTTATATTCAGTTCACTCTCATCACTTTCAATGTCACTACCTTTATCTTCCTTTTCAGTGGAAGCTACCACCTCACTTTCTTTTATACTCTGTGCCTCGCCTTCCTGTTTCTCCCCGGCCTTCAAATGTTTGTGAACCTTTGACAAGATCTCAACACGGGAATCACTTGCGCGTATCTTTATCTCCAGATATGCGCTTACTAGCACCAGTTCTTGTTTTCCCAGATATTTCAATCTGGCATGACAGTCCTCCTTGTTCAGAAAGCTCTGAACGTCGTCCAGATCCTCGATGGTCACTTTTTCTGCCATTATCACTTTAAGTGGTGCACGAACGCTTAACACGTCGCTTCACTTGAGCACTTTACACACCAAGCACTGTACTACACCAATATTGCACGTAATCACACGGGGCACCGCACTACAATATTGCACTAAATCACACCGAGCACCGCATAGGATGCACAACGTCCAAATAATTATAAACGGGGGGAATTACTTACAGGGGATTGCGCTACATCACCACCCCTGTCAAACATACTTGACAAGGGGTCGAATCCCGCTGGGGATGCCAATTATGTTACGGCCCAACTGGGACGAAACCGGGATCTTCTCTGATGGTAGTAGAGTTTGGGTATCCGGCCCCAAGTTAGTAGAGGCTTTCAAGGGGTGTGTTCCGTAACGCAAGTTAAATTAAAGGGGGAGGGATACAAATGTTCCAATTTATATATATATATATTCACCACCAACATAAATAAATATCAGTCACACACGGGGTTTATAACTACACTATTATGTACAGGTTCGTCTTCCTCCGAAGACACTGGATGCTCGACGGTGCTCACTCTGGGTAGCCCTGGTTCCTTCTTCCGTGGCCCACGATGAATCCACTATGATTCTATGACGAATCTACCCTGGCCACAGGCCAGCCAAATCACAGTCCCACTGGGTGCTTCGTCGTGGAGGTCTTCAACCACAATCCAGCCTGTAGCTGGCAGGTACCGATCAGCTCCACTGTGCAGGCCACTCCATGACCGATACTAGGGTTGCGAGCCCTGGGCAGGAGCCTCGTGTGATCCTGCTGATCACTCTCCTCACTAAGCACCACAGTGGCTAGTCTCTTCCACCAACCAGCCCCGGATAAGGCGATTCCCAACACTGCCACGCCACAGGCAGGCTAATACTCTCAACAGAGTTTGTCCGGGGGTGACTCACAGCTTCTTCAAAGCAGACTGGTGAAGGGATCTTGGCTGCCTTGGGTAGACTGATCCATCGTCCAATACAGCTGTCCCAGCTCGACTCTGCAAACAGACACGTCATTAATACTGGGACGCTCTAGGGAACCTCACTTACAGGCTTAGACACAAACGTCCACCTCTTCATTCCATAGATGGCGTTGCTGTCTAAGCGCCACCTCACCAGAGGTCAGCAGCGGCTATGTTATGAGCTGATTAAGATGGGAATCCAGCACCTGTGGCCGGTATATCCCGTCCTCACTAGATGGCGTTGTCCATTTGGAGTGGGTTTCGGGAGCGGACTCACAGATGGCGTTGTCGTCACTGCTCCGTGCTCCGACACTGGACTCGGGTCCGTAAAAAATGACACAAAGTCTGTTAAAAGTTCTGCTGACAGTTTACATGTAGTCAAATGCAGACGAGGAGTCACAATAACGTGGCTGAAATATGTTGACCAAACCACACACAAGAAAGTGAAGGGAAGACAGCGTTTTGGTCCGTCCTGGGCCATTCTCAAGTCGATTGTCGATTCTCACAATCGACTTGAGAATGGTCCAGGACGGACCGAAACATCGTCGTCCCTTCACTTTCTATTGTGTGGTTTGGTCATCATGTAGTCAAATCTACATCAGCAGATGTTACCATCTCCCAGATGTAATTGTAGTCGAGCATAAGCCTCGCAGTGGTAGCATCTAGAAGTTTGCTAACTTTATTGGATGACCCATAGACGTGTGGTTCTTCCTGCATAATAGAATAATGATAGATGGAGCAACTGGTGTGCATTTCACTTTGCCTCAAGTCTACTAGATTTAGATGCTGTTCCTGCTGTGAAGAGATTAAGAAACCCTAATTTACTTTGCCTGGAAAAGTGAAGAGTGAGGAGAAAATATTTAACTATACAAATGGATGAAAGGATATAGATGTAAGGCATATTACTAATGTCCTAAATATGTTCACACAAAATAAAACATGAAACAGCATATAAACAGTATATAAGTTTGGATTAAAAAACGACGTGGGTAAAAACTAGTCTTGAAAGAAACGTGTAGATTTATAGAAACAAATTACAGAGTAACAGTGCTGTGGGGTTTCAAGCGTTGTTTAGACATATATATGGACAAAAGGTTGTTATTTATACTATTGGAGAGAATGTTTGTCTGTCTGTTCAAAGGTGGAGGCCAGACTCTTGAACCTAGCTTTACCCAAACTGACAGGGGTAATGGTCTGGGGTCCGGGATGAACATAGGCAGGTCGGGGTCGCCAGAAGTCATAAGTGAACAGCGTGCCAGGGTCACATTCAGACACCCACGACGTTTTTTTTGGCACTGGCTGCTGGCTGACCCTGAAAATATTTTGAAAAAAAGGTCAGATCAATTATTTTTTGTATAATACTGTGCAATATTATGCATTGATATCAGGAAAATCAACAGAATATATATGATGTTTAGATTTCGTCCGTTGCCCGATAGAACAGATAAGTTAAATACAGCCACCACTCCTCCCCCACCTCCACCATACCCAGGCAGACACACACACACTTGCAAAACAGTTGAGTAACTATTTTATTTTATAGAAAATTTCCAAACTGTTCCAAACTATAAAATTCGAACAATTCCAAACTACAGCTGACATCACTTGAGCAGCTTTCTTATATACAATACTTGAGGTTGGCATCTCAGCATGGTTGCCGGCTGTTGTTCTGAGTGTATTATTGATACAACATTTGAAGGGCATGTCATAGATATATCCAAATTAACTTGGGAATTGATTACGATCATTCGTACTTATGCTGCTTGCAGTAACCACATAATTAGATCTTGCATGAAATATTGTATTTTTTTTACATTCACAACGTAATATTTATTAATTGGTCTTCTTGTCGTCTTCACTGGCAATGTCAGACTGCTCTGAGGAGGACCGGACGTCGTGAAGGCCTCCGCCACTGATCTTGCGCACCATCGTCTTCACCACCAGCACCGTCCACATGCCCGTCAGCAGTAGCAAACTACCGAACCAAAACTGAAACACATATATGGCCGGCATCACCTGCCACTCTGTGGACTCGAAGAAAACGGAGCGAGCAATCCAGAATGGCAGGACGCAGCAGCGGGTGAGGATCCAGAGCACCAGGAAGGCCACGAACAGCTGTTCACACACTGCATCGTACTTTGCGTATTTACACATCTTGGCTGCCAGCAGAGCTATGTCCGAATATTCATGGATGAATAAAATAAGAATTCCTATTCTAATGAAGCCGCAGGTCCAAGAAAACACAATGAGAAGGATAGTGAGAGTGTGATGGAGGATCATCTGAGACTTGTTTGAGTCTTGGCTCCCAGGCTGGGGTAGTTCTACGAGGGTGATGGCCCAGTAGTAGCCGAGGATAATCATATAATACCAGAAGACGTCGGATGTGACTTCGTGATTCGGGAAGTCCTTCCAGCACAGACTGGTGTCCCACAGCCAGGGCTTGGGCAGCGTCACGGCTGCTCCAAGAATGCCAAAGCCAGTGTGACACAGAAGCTTGAACCCACAGTCGAGGAACTTATGGTGGTTGTTGGGGTAAGTGAGCGCGTGTTTACGACGCAGCCACCTCTCCACCTGCCGCACTGTCTGGCCCGTCGACCTACATGCCCACGACACCACCACCTTCGGTGCTCTTGTCTGATGCTGTCCATAGATTGTCTCCAAGAGAGCGTTGGTCCTTGGTGGCGTTGGTCGTGTGTTCTGTATTCCCCTCGACCTGGCCAGTGGTACCAGTACGAAGGGCTCAATGAAACAGTATCGCAGCGACAGGAACATGAAACAGAACAGTATAGGGTAGAGCCATACGTCACCAGCTGACGTATGGACATCCTGCCATGTTATTCCATCGGGAAGCCAGAAGTCTGTGCTCCAGAATGCTGCGGAGACGTTCCTCCACCAGTCTCTCACCTGTAACAAATACCATTTACCTAAACAAATATACACTTCGGAGCAAATACAATATCAATATGTTATCACTGATCAAATATATTGAAACCACAAAGTTCTTTGAACTTAAAAGTCTTCACACTACACAGGAAGCTGTACACAAGGCTAGATCCCAAGCAATGTTATGCTTCACAATGACTAATACTCTGTTGTTGTTGTTGTTGTTGGGACACAAAAACAAGAACAAGTCAGAGGTAATGTAATATATAACGCAGAAGTAATATATATATATATATATAATGCAATATATATATTCATCACAAAACACTCGGTATAGTATACGATAACAGGTGGTGAACCTAACCCTTGACCATGTGACACGGGGGTAGGGTAGGTGTGGGGGTGGTGTCAGGTGTGGATAAACACAACTAACAACCATGAGAGTCAAGCATATAAGCTCCTCCCTCACTTAAACAGACGAATATATAACTGGAATATATACATATATGGGGGAACCCGTGTTGTTCAATGCACAGGCCACCATGTTTAGTGCTTGTTCTTGAGTGCACAGGCCACAAATGTGTAACACCCAGTTGCACACTTAACTCCCAAATACAAGCACACTTAACACCCCGTTACAATCACTTCCCGTTACAATCACGTAACATCCAGTTACAGTCACGTAACATCCAGTTAGTCGCCCCAATTACAGTCGCATTTAACACCCAATTACAGTCACACTTAACAGCCAGTTGCAATCACACTTAATACCTAAATACAGCCACTGTTATCACTTAAATACTGTCATTTAACAGTGACATTAACGGCTGTTCTCATTGTAAGTAATGATCTATTAGATGGCACTACCACAAGCTTTCTCAAGGCCCAGGTCAATACAACCAACCCGCTCCGTGATAAAGCCAGAACCTCTCATTTTGCTCTCTCATTGAAATCGATCAGGGAGAGGGAGAGCCTCCCTTCCCATAGTTCATGTAGGAGAGGGAGAGCCTCCCATAGTTCACGTAGGAGAGGAAGAGCCTCCCTTCCCATAGTTCACGTAGGAGGGGAAGAGTCTCCCTTCCCATAGTTCACGTAGGAGGGGAAGAGCCTCCCTTCCCATAGTTCACGTAGGAGAGAGAGAGCCTCCCTTCCCATAGTTCACATTGAGTCTCCACCTGCTGGTCGGGTTACAACCGGTTTCCCAATGACTGTTGGATGATCAGGGGCAAACAGTTAATGGTCAATGCACAGTCGATCATCCAGTTTGTGGTGGTTATAAATTCAGCTACTCGGAACAAAACGTTCCAAGTTTTTTTTTTATTATTTTTATTTGTACATGCAAAGCATGCAAATTAAATACAATAAAAACAACACAGAAAACAGAACAGAACAAATTAAAACAATAGACCACTGGCCAGAAGGGCCGACAGCACAGCACAACAAAACACAAACACGATAAATGCATAGAAAAATACAGCATAGATCAAGGCACAAAACATAATACAATGGCAAACAAGCAAGCACATTAACATCACAAAACAAAACCTTCATAAAACAAAACATACATCAAGAGGCATAACAGGAAACATAACAGGACAATCACAATACATTCCAAACAAAACATAAAGAACAAACACTTACAACAGGTAAAGCAATATGAAAACACCAGTGCAAACGTACAGCACAGAAACAATACAGGAAGAAAAACACTCACACCAAACCATCCGCCCCGCAACAAACAAAGGGCGAGGCCAAAATAAACAATAATAATAAACAAGCAAACCAGAAAACAAACAGGTACAAACACAACAACATACATGCACTGGCCTGAAGGACCGAGAATAAAACACAACATAAAGTACATCAAGAAACATAACAAGACACATCACACAGCACCCAACAAGCCAAGAATACCAACAAAAACAACAACTACAGTAACATGAAATCAGTGTACATATTTGCCCGGGAACATATCCGGTGGAAACCGCACATTGAACGCCTCCCAAAGCAGCCACGTTGTCCAGGAGGCGTGACCTAACACCGGCTGCACCATGTGAACTGGAACCTTGGCAACAAACACCCGCAGACATGGAACCCACACAGTGTCCCTCTGGATGCGAGTAACCGCCACCCTATCCCATACACCCGGAATCCGCCCACCAGAAAAGTCCTCCGGCCGTTCAAGCAGCAGGAACTCGGCAACCCAGGCTTCCAGGTCCTCAATGCACAACACCGCAGGAGGGGGGCTCGACAGAGGGCTCGACAGAGGGCACCACCACAGGGGCACCAGCGGCCACGGGCACACCACCAGACTGCAGGGAATCATGGCGGTGCAGATCCTTACGTAAAGTCACCACCAGGCCACGCCCAGCACCAACATCCGCACCATCCCTGGCAGCTGAAGCCACCACACCCGATAGCGGAAAGCCCTGGGCGGGGAAGAAACAGGAGACACACCCGAGACACGGGCGTCAGCACCAGCAGGCACATGAACCTCCGCCACCATCAACCGCGGAGACAACGACTCAGCCGGATCCATGCCGCCAACACTTGAAGACCCACAGTCACTAAAGTCCCCAATATCAGCCCAGGCTGTAAACGAACGCCTGGAACGGCGAAAAGAAACCCGGACCCCATCATCCTTGATAACCAGCCGATCCAATATGCGGAGGTAGGCAGAATACTGGGACTTATGATAAATAGAACAGGGATACAAATTCATGTAAGGGACCGACTAAACAAAGCCAAAGCAGCATTAGGAAAACTGAGAAGATTCCGAAGCCTCAGTACTAACATTCAGATCCACCTATATAAGGCTCTAGTTCGGCCGCATCTAGAATATCCCCCAGTACCACTACACACCATAAAGAAAACTAACATGCAGAAACTGCAAGCAGTACAAAATAAGGCGCTAAGGAGAGCAGCAAAACACCGTCCACCATATGATCAGACAATCCAGGAGCTCCACGAACTCCTGAACATACAGCCACTAAACATCAGACTGCAGCACCAAGCCATCAGGGTATGGAACACCATCGAAATGTTAGAGGACCCAATGTTTGAAAGATTACTCCAAGATGAGACGCCCCGCTCCCACAGCTGGTGGCCCAAGAGCCTCGATTCTCTGGACGAAAACCCCGCCCCACAGTATATAATCCCCAGATGAGTTATATATGTATATATATGAACAGTTCATATATGTGTATGTATGAACAACTCGATAAATAATATGTATGTATGACAACTCGATAAATAATAATAATAAAATAAAGAGCCTTAAACAGAATAACATGTGTGGAAGCATCGGAGTGTGTATATATGAATGCTACACAGTATTCATCTATGGACATCCATATATGGTGAAACACATGTGAAGAACCTCTCACACACTCACAGCTCCCTGACAAGAGGGAGCCAGCTTAGCTTAGCTGCCAACACCCACACATCGTGTCAGCAAGGCGGACAGCCCGCCTGCTTTCATACCTCTCACTGTATTTCCCACTTCTATACTTCCCTTCACCTATGCCTCTCCTTCCTCTTTACTCAAAAAAAAAAAGGAGCCTCAGCAGCGAACGGGACGCTCACCTCCTCACCCCCGGAGTCCTCCTCCAGAGGAAGCGGCGAGAAATCCTCCTCACGGAACAAGTTCACAAGAGCGACCGGATCAGTAGTACACCCGGCAGCCTGATGCCCCAGCAAGCCACACCAGAAGCAAGTACGGGGTTGCCGGGCATAAAACACCCGCACGTAGTACCCCAACAGCCAGACAGAGGACGGTATGTCCGACCTCAGTCGCATCCCGAGGGTCCGAATGTTGGTCTTCACACCCGAATACGTGCCAGACGACAGTGAGTTCATCCGCACACTGATGACGGAGCCGTACCTCTGGAAGAATCGCTGGAGGATAGTCTCAGGAAACTCCATGGGGGCGTCATGAACACTTGACATACGTCACAGCACCACTACGGTCTGAAATGGTCACAGACCCGGTGCCGTTCTGTAGCTGCAAAGTACGTCCCTTGTACCTCCGTAGGAAAGCACGGTACACCGCCTCACCTATAAACTTGATGATGACACGTGAGCAGTGACCAGCTCAATGCCATATACGTCCCCAACCGGGACACGAAGCATGTCACTCAATACCCTTGTCCACCAGCGGGTAACCACCACGGCCAGTAAACTCCAATCCGATGGAGTTTAACCGCACGACAGCGGGAATAGGGCCGCCCATCATAAAACACGCCACGTCCCCACCACCAGGAACAGCAGGGAGGGTAGAGACACCCACACCCCCTGCTGGCAAAAATGTCAATCACCCCAAAACTGCCAGAGCGGGCAAACGACACGTCCACACTCGGCAGCCCACAGGCGACTCCACATTTAACACCCAATTACAGTCACACTTAACAGCCAGTTACAATCACACTTAATACCTAAATACAGCCACTGTTATCACTTAAATACTGTCATTTAACAGTGACATTAACGGCTGTTCTCATTGTAAGTAACGATCTATTAGATGGCACTACCACAAGCTTTCTCAAGGCCCAGGTCAATACAACCAACCCGCTCCGTGATACAGCCAGAACCTCTCATTTTGCTCTCTCATTGAAATCGATCAGGGAGAGGGAGAGCCTCCCTTCCCATAGTTCACGTAGGAGAGGGAGAGCCTCCCTTCCCATAGTTCACGTAGGAGAGGGAGAGCCTCCCTTCCCATAGTTCACGTAGGAGGGGAAGAGCCTCCCTTCCCATAGTTCACGTAGGAGGGGAAGAGCCTCCCTTCCCATAGTTCACGTAGGAGAGGGAGAGCCTCCCTTCCCATAGTTCACATTGAGTCTCCACCTGCTTGCTGGTCGGGTTACAACCGGTTTCCCAATGACTGTTGGATGATCAGGGGTAAACAATTAATGGTCAATGCCCAGTCGATCATCCAGTTTGTGGTGGTTATAGATTCAGCTACTCGGAACAAAACGTTCCAAGTAGCACGGGCTATGGTGAGCCTGTAGGACCTAGATCATCCAGGGCTCGAAACCGGCCGAAATTGCTCGCGATGTCGAATAAGCCGT